GAATTGATGTTGACAATAAGGAGGACTACAACCCGGAGGACCTCAAGCCAGAGGAGCTCCCCACTTGGACGCCCTATATAGGGGATCCCCGTATTAGAACCATGAGGGACCTCCACCTCCTTCTCAAACTCCCTTTTCTTATGGTGGAGACCCTCATTTCCAAGAGGATGAGAGCGAAAATCAAAGCGTGGAGCATGAGAGTCATTTCCATGACAATTCCAAATGAGTCCCTAATCATTGGAATGAAAAAATCAAAAAGGTGCATAATCAACTGGGTGATGTCTTCAACGCTCTGAAGGAATAAGGACCCGATACTGTGGACTACCTTGTAAGGAGAATTGACACACCTTCTGTGCTAGATGTGGCAAACTATCCTTGTCACGCCCCATCCCGGTCTCCCAAGGATGAGATGCGAGTAGGTTTTACATACACCTGTGAACAATTATTATAAGTTGGACTAATCAAACATGATATAATCTCACAAGTGCAACAACAACACTCATCACCTTAGTTATTAAGCATGATGGTAAAACCTGTCTGATAACATGTACTATATATAAACACTTGTATCAATCATTCATTTCCTAGGTTATAGACATAAAAAAAAAACCCCACACCCACATAGCATACATCACAAAGTATGCTTGCTGAGTCTATTTACAAATATATATTATTAACCTGCCATAAATATCTCTCATAAATATAGTACACAAGCCAACAGTTAGTTATACCGACACTCAACCTGAGTGGTATCACACTAATGTTGCACAAGACTCAATCAACTAGACAGTGGATCGGTCTGCATCCTCCTCTATAGTACTTGAAAGAAGAAACTGTAGGGATGTGAGTTAAACCACGCGCTTAGTGAGTATACATGCAATATATGAAATGAAAATGATAGTAATACACTAAAGTAGATAGATAATACATAGATACACGTATCAAACAACGACATCAATCCAATTCCAAAGAATTCATAAGCCACATCACATCCACACTACCCCTCATTGGATAATCGATCCCACATGGATCTGTGTCTCTCGAACCTCCTGGGAACACCGCAGTTCTAGCACATCACTGCACGCCCAGTGACTAGTCATCGACACCCCTATCTCAAACAGTGCGCCACGTTTTACAATACACAATACACAGTACAAAGCATCATCCAATCACATAAGCACGTAGCACATAATCCTAAAGAATTACTATTAAATTCTATCATTTATTATCATATGATAATAGCATTTTCAAAACATATAAAGATATACACCCACCTCCAATATACAGATCTGCAGCCCTTCGGTTCTACTAGTGGATCCTTTCGGTGTTATCGTATCCATTTCGACACCGACTATCTCATCCGTTCCACCTAACACATGTATAATTACAATATGAATATGTTTATCACATTTAATAGTTAATAATGTACTAAATGAATGCAAATGATGAACCCCAAAGTGCCCCGGTAACCCTGATTACCACATTATCCACTCACACACTAGCACTTTTGTTATAGGGATCACATTTCCTTCCCAATCTCTAAAATCACTCACATTAATTAAAATTAGGATTTAGTAGGTCAAACACATTGACCGGGGGGGTCCATTTTCACACATTTCGATCCTGAATTCTAAAAATTGTACTTTTGACATTTCATACGTTTCGTACAGATATTATGCTCATTTGCATTCAAAAGTCTCGTTATCATATCAAACATTATTTAAAAATTCTACATGCAAAATTTCAGGTCATTTGGATTAAAATTCGCACATGTGATAATAACATTTAGAAATTAGAGTTTCGGCGTTACCGACACCCGTTTCCCACTTCTATCGCACTTTTTATTTAAAACCTTTACACTTAAATTCACACACACATTTAATCAATGCAAAATAGCCCTTAATTGACCCTTTAAACCACTCATTTCATTCCCATAATTTTCGTTTTCAACCTAGCTCGCTAAAAACTTCTCGATATTCATTTTTCATATTTTTTTTCGTCTTTCTCATACCTGGATTGCACAGCCCTTTACAACCCTTTGTAACAGCCCCTTAAATCAACTAACTACACTAAATGACACTCAAAAAAAATCTGGTTTGATCTGAACACAAAACAACCCGTTATTTGTACACAAGACAATCCACTAATTATGTTTAATGTACTTAATTTAAACTCACAAAAAATATGTTTTTAAATTGCATTAAAACAACCCATTAAAATTTAACCGAAATAGTCCATGAAATTAAATTAGAACATTCACTAATATCAAATAAAACAGTCCACATAGTTATGTACAAACTACAATTAATTACATCTTATGCACAAAGTGAGTCCCACGTACCTTCCTTGCTCACGGTTCAGATGGACACACACACTTATTTATTATTTTTTTTTCTTTCTTTCTCCCTTACTCACGGTCCTCTTCTCTCAGTTCTTTTTTTTTTTCTTTCTCTCCCTCTCGACTCTTCGGTTAGACAATCACACACACATACATTTCTTAATATATTAAACACACACACACTTCACACTTAAGACTCACACACACCCACACATGGCACACACACGACACACTTAAAAAATGACTCACCTTTCCTTTCTTTTCTTTTCTTTTTTTTTTCCTAAATCCTACACCTGTAAAGGTAAATCAATAAATAGAGGAATTATACTTGCCTCCCCCCATGGTTTTAAATGATTTGAAAATTGACCCACTAGTATTTTCATACATAAAATTCCTATAAATGAGTCTCACAAATATATTACTAACGGGGTCTAGCTACCCAATGTATGCTCACATACATCATGGCTATGAAAGATTTAATTTAATTAACCCTTTAATAATTTCACATAATTATAATTTAAACCACAAAATTATATTAATATGCATGCAATGCGTGATTGGGTCTCACAACCCTCTTCCCCAAAAGTTTAAAATATCATCTGTTGAAACCTTTGATGGCACAAAAGACCTACTTGATGACCTTGAAACTTATAAGTCATTGATGTAGCTGCACAATGTTCCTAACGAAATCATGTGTAGGGCTTTTCCGACTACCTTGAAGGGATCTACCTGATAATGGTTCATCAAATTTATCCCAACCTCCATAGACTTCTTCGTCAAACTAAACAGATCCTTTGTGGCATTGTTTATTGGTGGACACCACCAGCAGAAACCTGCCACCCATCTGCTCAACGTAAAATATGATCAACACGAGAGTTTGAGGAGTTACCTCACTTGTTTTAACGACGAGGTTCTCCAAATCGAGGAGCCCATTGACAAAGTCACAATGACTGCCTTTCTAGGAGGCTTCTGCTCATCGAGTTTCCATTTTTCAATAATGAAATGACCACCAAAGAGCATGTCAGAATTGTTGGCAAAAGGTCATAAATACATAAATGCCAAGGACGTCATCAGAGCCAAGCAAGGTGAGTCCTCACCATCATCATCACCACCTGCGAGAAGCCACATAGGCACAGGTGTTAATAGATTTTGTGGTTGAGCTCACCGCTTGAGGGAGGAGATTGTCGAGAAGAAGACTCAGCTCCAAGCGCCAGGGGCCCATTCAGCTCTCCTGCCCGGGTGCCCAGCTCCTTAGACACCTGGCCTTCAGACCTAGCATCTTAGACGCCAGGACCAGGCATCCAGCACCTCAAGCGCCCAACTTCTCAGGTGCCCAACTCCTCAACGTCAGCCCTCAGACGTCTAGTTCTTTAGGATCAAGGCCGTGGGCGCCCAGCCCCTTAGGCGCCAGCCTCAACAACCCAACACCTTAGGTGCCAGCCCTTAGACGCCAGCTTCTCAAGCGCCAGGTCCCAAGGCACCCAGCGGACAATGCCCAGCGCCTGCGCCCAACGCTGAGCGACACCCATGCCTTAACACCCAACAATACTCTCATGCAAGCACTCTAAATCTCTAACTTAGCGGCTTTCATGAGAGTCGTCAAAAGCTTGGCCATATTCTGTCTCTACTCTCACGTAGGCAACTTTTGTCTCCAGCTTAGTGGCTCTCTTGCGGGTAGCCAAAAGCTTGACCTATCTCTGCTCTGCTCTGAAATAGGTAACCTATATCTTTAGCTGAGAGGTTTTTTTGCGGGTTGGCAAAAACTTAGTTTATTTTTACTCTGCTCTTAAGCAAGCAGCCTATATCTCCAGTTGAGCAGCTCTCGTGGGTCGCCAAAAGCTTGACCTATCTTTGTTTTACTCTGCTCTGAAATAGACAACCTATATCTCTAGCTGATCGGTTCTCTTGCGGGTCGCCAAATGATTGGCCTATCTTTGCTCTACTCTAAAACAGACAACCTATATCTCTAGATGAGAGGTTCTCTCGTGGGTCTCCAAAAGTTTGGTCTTTGCTATGCTTTCAAGCAGGTAGCCTATACCTCCAACTTAGAGGCTCTCTCATGGGTTGCCAAAAGTTCGGTCCTAAAAGGTGCAACTCTATCACGATCAACCCTTAATCCTCTGCTCTCATGTGGACAGCCTCACATTTAGCTTACCTCCAATTTAGCGACTCCCTCACGAGCAATCCTCAAACTCTATCTTTGCTCTCACGAAAGCAGTCTGCCTCTCTCTCTAGGTAATCATGTTAGATATTTTGATGTTGGAATAAAATTGTTTTTGTCATCTCTAGGCACGCTTTTGAAACTTATGCCTTCTGCAACTGCAGGACTACATTAGATTGAATGTCAACAATCGGGCTTCATCTATTTGGCACCGCCACCTCATTGCCACAGTAGTCCTGTGCTTAACATCTAGCGTAGATAAGACTTGCATGCGCTCCCAACACTAAGGATCTGTAACCTACTCCTAGTTACTAGCTCCCTTGCTCCAGACACCCCTCATGGTGCCCTACCTCGTGGCGCCCAACCTCTTGGCACCCCCATCGTAGCGCCTAACTCCTGGCGTCTCTTCCTCTTGCACCTGTGTAGCTCTATGCCCAGAATCCTCTATTGTCATGCCTGGCTCACCCAGTGTAGGCACCCCCGCCGAGCACAGCGATGCTGCTATGCACTCGCCTGGCCGCGCCCAACGCTTGGCAACATCGTCCGCGTGCTAGCCCCTTCTCGCCTAGCCTCTAGCGACACCAACTCTGGCGTGCCCTCTCCTCGGCGAACCGACGCTAGTTGAGGCGACCTCAACACCCCATGGTGCCTTACTGCCTCGCCAACGCTCCCCAGGGTCAACGCCTTGTCGACGTCCTCTTGAGCACATGCCCCGAGGCCAACTACTTCGGCACCGTCAGCCTCTTCTCCGATGTCAATAACCTCTGGCATATCTCCTTCTTCATCCGATAATGGTCTTCGGTCACTTAGCTCATTCGTAGCAAGGGATGTCCTATGGGGATTAACTGTATCAAGAAGAAAAAGGGGTCATCAGTCAAAATGAGTCTTCGTCCGCTAGAGTCCAAATTCTGCTAAATGCCTTTTTCTTCAAGTTTTATTGGACTCAGGGCATTGTAGGGCAAATGATGAGCCCGACCCAAAACCCAACTCAGGTTGTGGGCCTAACTTGAATAAATGATCCACTAGATGTAACACAATGGTTCTAGCCCAAAAGAGATTCACGCCCAGTCAGGCTCATCAAGGCTCGAGGGCCCTATCATCAAGGAGTAGGCGGCACCATCCCAAGAGCCTCATCCAAGTCACCTTGAAGTAAACGTCATTTCAAGAGTCTCATCCAAGTTACCTTGGAGTAAGCATCATCCCAAGAGCCTCATCCAAGTCACCTTGAAGTAAGCATCATCCCGAGAGTCTCATCCAAGCCATCTTGGAGTAAGGGTCATCCCAAAAGCCTCATCGACGCCGCCTTGGAGTAAGCGTCATCCCAAGAGTCTTATTCAAGTCACCTTGGAGTAAGAGTCATCCCAAGAGCCTCATCCAAGTCACCTTGGAGTAAGCACCATCCCAAGAGCCTTATCGAAACCACCTTGGAGTAAGGGTCAGCCCAAGAGCCTCATCCACGCTGCCTTGGAAAGAGTTAACCACCACGTCATTCTTTGACCGGATCTTATGGAGAGTTCCGTAACTACATCATCTGTTGAGAAGATGGCGCTAACTCTACCAAATTAGTCTTTTAGTTACTAATGAGTCTTCTCAATCTGTTAGGAGACGACTATAAATTGTAAGTCCCATCAATACTGAGGGAGCACCACACACAATTGAGCACATCTGTTATCGCTCTCATCTCTCTCTCTCATAGTTTGTATCTCCCTACTCTCCCTTCACTTCTCGAAGTAATAAAAATACCCAAGTCATTCTAGTCCTTCTAAGTAGATGTAGATCATGTTGACCGAATTACTCTATTTCCTTGTTTTACTTGAATTATTTTCTCTTTCTACTTTATTACTGCATTTATTACTAATCATTTGACCGGTGGTACATAAACTCAATTTGTGCATCATCAATGGTCATTGAGTGTATGGATGTTCAAAATTATTTAGTTGAAGGTCTAATTTATAATGTCAGACAAGCAGTTGGTTCTATGGTTAAGAATTGAAAATTTCTTATTCAATACTTAAGTTCGAATTTGCATAGTTAAGACAATTTTTTGGGACTAAGTCTACTCTTCAACCCTAGAGCATGTGGTGGGATCATAGTTACGATAGTGGGATCTATTATAGATAATTATGTGATGCTAAAAGATAATGCTCAATGGTGAATATGTGGAGTGGTCTATTTGAATATCCATTTTATATACTCAAAAAAATAAAATTATTTTGACTTTTTTCAGTCATATTTTGAGGTTACTTCGTTGAATACACCATCCCTCAACATAAATTTAGCCACTGTTTCATCGACGTTGAGGTGTAGCCCAAAGCAAGCAAAATCTAGCAGCCACATAAATCATCAAGACAAAGGCTTGAAAGAGCACGTACGTGTAAATTTTATCCCTTTTGTGAACAATAAAAACTTGAATTTGTTGAACTCGATCTTTCAAATTCTAAATCGACCAATCTCTTCGCCTCTTTGTATTTTAGAATTTTTTTCCATAATTTTTTGTGGGGGTTATACTTGGAAATATTTTTTTTTGTTTCCTGAAAGATATACAAATTTTTAGTTTGTCTTCCTAATGATTAATTTTTTCACATTATCCGCTCAAAGTAATAAAAAATTACAATGTAGTCCAAAAATATTGTAATATACTTCTAAAAACGTTTTTGGACCATATGATAACGTTTTTTATTTCTTTGAGGGAGCAATGTAAGAAAATTAATCATTCGAGAGACTAATTTAGAATTTTTATATCTTTAAGAGGCAAAATAAGATTTTCTCATTATACTTTAACCTCTTCAACTATGTCATTTTTATTATCTTCTCCCATCAACAATCATATTTCTTTGCACTTTCAATTATGTTATTAATTTCATTTTGATTTCAATAATTAACACTCTCTATAAATTAAACAAAGTTGTTTCTTTTTGCTTCCTGAACTATATGTTTTGTTTCACTTTACAATCGATATGTTAACAATTTTGTCCAAAAGTAAAATAAGTTTACGTTTAGGGTAATGTGAAACTAATTCAAATAGTTAACAAGACAATGTCAAAGATTTAACAGTTCAAGATAATTGGAATTGATTCCATAATTAAGGTGGTCAACGTATAATTTACCCTTCTTGTAATAATTAGGAGTTCCGTCAAAACTAATGCTTAAATAATTACGCTAGAAATTAAATCACAATACATAATGCTTGTGCTGCTATCTATAAACCACCTTTACATACATGCATGCGTACAGACAAATAAGTCCCAGAACTCGATTCAGTTAGCATAGAGGATGATCCGCTTTGAATTACATGAAACGTGGTGTTCCCTGTTATGATGAGGAATTTTGGCGGTGCCCAACTATTATTTTGTTTAGTTCTTCGGTTAGTGAATAACCCCACACTAACGATCAAGTATATTATGCTATAGCATAATCATATTATGTTATGAAACAAAAGCGATTAACTTTGTAATCGTATTGAATTAGAATCAAATCGGATAGAGTATATCCAAATCCATGTCATGAAAATATATTATAAAATTCAAACATTAGTTAAAATCATTAATTTATATCCGAATCATCAAGTTTAGAATTGGATAAAAGTTTGATCAATTGAAAAACATACTCAAAACACGAGGTGGGAAGATGACTTTCCAATCACCATGGAATATGATAGCTGCCCAAAAAGGGGAGGTTGAAAAAAAAAAAAAACCTACCGAAATCCTCTTGCGTAATCCTACCACCCATTGACAATTAACGTTCAAATATTGGTGAGCTGTGCCGCCTTTGATTCTGTTGTAGATTGAAATGCTACTTCTATTTGCAGAAAGATCATTGTATTATGAGAGACAGACGCTTTGATTTTCATAAACAACGTGTATGAGGGCGAAATCTGTCTTAAAGACATAATATTAAACATTAGCCTTGATCTATTTCAAATTCAATAATAGTTCATTTCTGTAGACGAGTTAGTTTATCTATTATTTAAATTAGAGATTTATTGTGTTATTGTTTTGTTCATATTTGAAACTGTTTCGTTCACACACTTAACTATAACCGTTTTGTTTTAAATTGCAAAAAATACCATGTATAAACAAGGCTTAACTGTCGAACTCAAGCCTCTTGGGTGGAAATTTCGTGAACTTGGGCTGTCACCCGATGCGGTCAAACTTGGGCTAAATCTATACTTTTCTCTTGCATTTTGTAAAACTTCAATCTTTTGACATTAGGGCTAGTAAAAGTCTAAAAAGATTAGCCAGAAGTTATCATGTTGTTGGTCTATAAATGCCCATTTCGTTACAGCTTGGTTATATCAATTACTAAGGAAGAGAAGGTACCATAGCATAAAAAAAACGCATAACCTCGAGGATGTCATCACACTGTGAAGGTAAAAATTTCAAGTTTTATTGCTAAGAATACAGTTAGAGCTTGTAATACGAGGGAGAGAGTACAAATACTCAACCCAACAAAATTATCATCTCAACTATTTTGAGTCGGCTACATGAATTTTATTTTTTTGTTATGTTCTATCAAAGTCAAACTTTTTGTTACATTGTGAAAACTTTACCTTCTTGATATTAATGGTTCAACTCTCTTTTCCCCTCCCCCACCAAAAAAAAAATTGTATGGAGTGTATATATGCACAAGGTATGTAATATTGGTTACGAACGGTCCATAATAATTAAAAAAAAAGAGTCAAACTTTTCATTAAATTATAAGATGTCATGTTCTTCTTTTCTATTTTGACTTACCNAACGGTCCATAATAATTAAAAAAAAAGAGTCAAACTTTTCATTAAATTATAAGATGTCATGTTCTTCTTTTCTATTTTGACTTACCTCTATTTCTGGCAATGCCATTACTTGTTAGTACAACACTAGGTCTGTTATGCACATCTCCTAGTCATTGTGTTGATTCTTTCTTCATAATTTATCTCATATCAGTGTTAATTCTATAGTTTTACAAATATATTTATTTCTATTTCTATTTTTTTTATTTACCCCGCATTCATCATAATATTCTAATTTGTACAACTATTTGGGAAAGAACACTCGGTACAAAAAATTATTTTCAATATTGTGTCATAAGCTACGATTCAAATTACGACTCTAACAGGTGAACTTATGACTTAATGACATCTAGTAGGATCGATCCCAAAAACTTACTATCGATCCCAATTTTTTGAAACCCATTGAGTCGTAACTAGTTTCAATCATGAATTTCTCAAATTTTTAGTATAGGCCGTAGTTTTTCTTTGAACGGAAAGCATATACCATGGTAATGTAATACAAAGTTTTGTGTCAATTCAGGTAAGAGTTCATGGCCCGAGCTCGTTGGGGTGCAGGGAGAGACTGCCGTGGCAATAATTGAAAGGGAGAATCCTTTGGTCAATGCTATCATTGTGCCAGAAGGTTCATTCGTCATCCAAGACTTTCGTTGTAGTAGGGTTTGGGTTTGGGTTGACAAGAATGGCACCGTTTATAGGGTCCCAAGAATTGGTTAGGTTGGAAGGGAAGTTGCCAAACTACTGATAATTATTATGATGTTTGTATTTGAAATAATCCCAAAAGTGGAGTTTATGTGATCTCCATGTGTTGTACTTAACATTAAATAAGGTAGATTTATAAGTGGCAACTATAATGTTGATGATCTCTTTCTCTCTCTCTCTCTCTCGTTCAACCACAACACGAACTCTATTGCAGCTAAAATCACAGTGCACCCAGTAACTCAATGGTAACAAAGGCCAAAAGATTGGCCTTTTCAATTATTGCTATTATACTCTCTACTTTGTTTCAAGGTGACAAGAAAAAATTATACACATCGAGCCTCTCAACTATCTCACTTTACCCCACACTATAAATTTTCACATATCGTCCCTTCAATTATTTGGAATAATTACTACGCTGGAATTAAGCTTCCACCATGTTTGGGATAGAAAATATCCCTATGCGTAGGGATGATAATCATGGCGACCTTTGCGAGTTTCAGTTGAACCAGTCAAGTTCATTTTTGTAAACGAGTTGAATAAATTGTTCACGTCCAAAACAAGTCGAGTCTGAGTAGCTCGACTAGTTTACATATAAACGAGCCGAACTTTGCAATTTTGAACATTTTCTAAATAAGCCTAAAAAATTGTTCACCCTTGGCTCAATTAGTATAAAAGTCAAACTCGAGTCGAGTCTTACCCGAGCTGAATCTGAGCCGAATCCGAATAACACAGCTCAATTATCAACCCTACCTATTTGTTGTATACTACATGTTTGTAGTGTCTGAAATTGGGGTAATATGAAACCAATGGCTACTACTAAAAGTGCAATGTGAGAAAATTGGTAGCTGAAGAGACAACATAGAAACTCCGTCGTTGAGGGGGCAGAGTGAGATCAGAATTGTAGTTGAGAGAGTAAAGTGAGACAAGGGCATTGAGGGGGCAACCGCCTAATTTTCCCTTCCTATATCATCTGATTAGCACTGAAACTGGAAATGTATTCTTAGGAATAGACCTGGTATAATTTACCTGGACACTCTAATGCTATCCTCTCTGTATACTTTGTGCTTGGTTAGCACAAGTTGTGATGAAATGCGTATTGATTGACCAACAAGCTCAGAGCTTGTGGTTGGCTTTCTTTTGAACTTTCTATTTAGCAGAACTTCAATTGCCTCCATCAAAATTCTTGTGCAAGAGGCTTTCTAGTTGGCAGACAACATGAAATTTACGTGCAATAGGATTGGGTTAAATGTGAAATATTCGAACCGTCATACAGAACTAATACTTGTGGTTATCACTTTGAAAAGCAACAGAACCACAAATTGTTGTACAATAGACTCAATATGTGTACAAATACTTGTGTTTGTCTATAAACATCACAGCCAATCACAAAGCAAGATAATTAAGGAAGAATCTCTTTACAAGTTCTTAGGATGGCATCAATTTGTCAAGGTAAAGAGCTCTTTATAATTTCTATTGTTAAGAATACTTATAAGAGTTTCATTGTTAAGCATGATGATATAGTAATCTAGCACAAGTTTTTTTTTTTTTTTTTGTGTGTGCTTAATGATTTAGGTAAGAGGTTCATGGCCAGAACTTGTCGGGAAACGTGCACAAGCTGCAGCCGAAATTATTGAAATGGAGGATTCATTGGTCACTACAATCAATGTATGAGACACCTTCACCCTAGATTTTAGGTGTGACAGGGTCTATATCGTGATTGACTATAGTGGCACTGTTATCGTAGTTCCTATGATTGGTTAGGTTAGAAGGACGAGGTCCAAACTGCAGGTAATTATTTAGTATGGTTTTGTATTCGAAATAATTCAAAATATGGGTACTGTGGTCTCCATGTGTTGTACTAAATAGTAAATAAAATCGCTAAATAAGGGACAATTACAATGTTCCCACTTTGTTAATCATCTCTCTCTCTCTCTTACACACGCACGCGCACACTAACACTATTTTCCCCTGTATTGTGGTCCTTGGGCTGTTTTGCAGCTTAAACTAAGTGCACTAACTCTTGACAGAGTTGAACCTATTTATGACAAATGAACTCTAATATATCTTGGTTAAGCATCTAAAGGAGTGAATAAGAGTTTATCTATTAATGTNCACTAACTCTTGACAGAGTTGAACCTATTTATGACAAATGAACTCTAATATATCTTGGTTAAGCATCTAAAGGAGTGAATAAGAGTTTATCTATTAATGTCAAACTCAGTAGGCTTGTTAGTATGTGTATTCTTGCGACTGAAGTGTAATGTTAGATAAAATATGTTCAAAATCTATATGTATACCCTTATNCTCAGTAGGCTTGTTAGTATGTGTATTCTTGCGACTGAAGTGTAATGTTAGATAAAATATGTTCAAAATCTATATGTATACCCTTATGTATATTCATAGAAAAAAAAAGGGAAAAACAAAAAAAATGGTAAAATCTGATCAGAACTTGAAATCTAGAAACACCAAAGCCTTGAATTAAGAGATAATAAACAATGATTCATTTTGACTGCTATAACTTAGAAAAAGTAGGTTTTCAAATTCAATGTTTCCAATAAACCATGCACATTGAGCACGATTTCAAGATTTTACATCCGTTTTTATTTTTCGTCTGGGTTATAAGTCTAGGTATTACATGAGTTGTTATAAATTCGTCTAGTTTAATAGTGCTTTGACGACTGTCTGCTAAAAAAGATCTACATACTATTTAAGATAAACAAATAAGATTGAGATACAAACAAATTCTATCTCTTTGAGATGCTCTATCACCAAATGATAGAGTCCAACCTTTATTATCCTTATCTTTGTGTATTTTCTATACTACAAATATTGTATACCCGTGTATACAATTGAGTGAATTTAGTAGAAACTTTTACATTTCTCATAAGGTGGATTAATTAGTGGCGCCAATGATAATTATCGTTGTTTAATAAACATCTCCCTCTCGGTACATTTTAGTTACAATGTGAAACTGACTTTATATGCCGCTCTGTCCATCATGTAGTTTGGTGATAAGATTGTTAGTGACGTTGAGTATACGGAAATTCAAAATTATTTGGTAGAAAACCCTAATGTCAATAGTGTGGACTTTCAATCAAGCGACTTTCTCTTTTCTTATATGGAGATTACTTGAAGAATAAACCATCCACAGAAATATAGGGAATTTTCTAAGGTACTAATTTTGTTGATTTAGTTAAAAGTCGACGGTTTAAACAATAAGATTTAATGAGGTCGATTATTTTAATATTGATTAAGAAACTTAAATAAAACTAGCTGAACAGTAATTTTCTAATACGGTTCTAAATTTGACTGCTGGTCTTTAATGGCTGAGGTGGAACAAACTGTACAAATCCCATGAGAGAGGTCAAATACTCCCAAACTCCTAGAATCATGTAAGATGAAACACTACATATGCTCGGGAGGATTATACAAGTATTTTGAAAGACATTAATGCATCTTATTTATTATTTTAGATAAATTTTAGAATTCAACTCCAATTATAAACACACCAATAACACCCAAAATATATAGTAAGCGAACTGAACATGTCGTAGTTCAAATAGCAGCTATAATTGAATATGAATTTGTGTTTTGAATCCAACACTGGTACATTTCTTTGCACATGTACATCATTTTTGTTGGCTGTAGTGTCATCTTCTATTTTTCCCTTAATACAAACCTTGAGGTTACTTGAAGACTAGATGATCATTGATTGTGCGGTTAGGATTGTTTGATTGAGGATAAGATATTCCAGATTATTGACGTGTACAATCTGGCGGTCATTGAAAATGGCATAGGTGGAAGATATATCACGTAACGGTCAATAAGTCTTATGTTTAATTATACTTATAATATTGATTCTTGTGATTGCTCAATTGAGGTCTACACGTCATAGTTTGAGCTACGAATATAATTTCTTTGCATTCACAATAAGATATTGTACGTCTAATCATTCTAAAATCTTATAACGACAATAATTTCGTGATCTAAACTATTCCTTTTAACACCTTTACCCTATTTGATGAATTGAAATTAGATTTGAGGAACATAGAAAGTCGATTTGTATCGGGCAAAGAATTCATAGGAAATTGGGCATATCTATCTGCAAGGAAGCCCATGGTGAATTTCTATGAAGTCTCTAGGTCGAATTTTACGAGTTCGAGCCGAATTTTTTTAGGCTTATTTTTTAAACATGTCTAAAAAATTGTTCAAACTTGACTCATTTAAAATATAAGTCAAACTTGAGTCGAGTTCTATCCAAGTTTGGACTGAATAACTCAACTTATTTTTTAAACAAATCTAAAAAATTGTTGAAATTCGGTTTATTTAGAACATGTGTCAAGCTTGAGTCGAGTTCTACCTGAATCGAGCCTGAGTAGATCGGTTCAAGTATCAGAGCTACACGTGAGAGAGAAATTATTTAGATATCTCATGTGGAACTCTCCTATCGAATGTCAAAAAGGAAAAAGAAGCCTTAATATGTTATTGATTGGTTTAGAGGCCTCGTGTGAAACACCCATCTCCCATATTCCCGATCTTTGTCTGTCACCCGATGCAGTCAAACTTGAGCTAAATCCATACTTTTCTCTTGCATTTGTAAAACTTCAATCTTTTGACATTAGGGCTTGTAAAAGTCTAAAAAGACAAGCCAGAAGCTATCAGTTTGTTGGTCTATAAATACCCATTTCGTTTACAGCTTGATTTCATCAATCACGAAGGAAGACAGGGCAACATAACAAGAAGAAAGCACAACACTGAGGATGTCATCAGAGTGTAAAGGTAGTTCAAGTTTTACTTTTGAACCTAATTGTTGTCGTGGGCTTTCCTGTAAGTTTAAGCATATAGTACGATAATCTTGCAAATATAAATTTGTTTTTTGCGTATCTAGGTAAGAGTTCATGGCCCGAGCTTGTTGGGGTGAAGGGAGAGATTGCGGCAGCAACAATTGAGAAGGAGAATCCTTTTGTTACTGCTACGATTGTGCCGCCGGGTACATCTGTCCTCCCAGTCATTCTCTGCGATAACGTGAACGTTTTTGTTGACGAGAATGGCATAGTTACTAGTACCCCTATAATTGGGTAGATTGGAAGGAAAGCTATCAACCTCTTGATAGTTATTTACTATGTTATTTGTATTTGAAATGATTCAAAAATAATTGGACTTTATAGTCTCCATGTGTTGTATTGAACACTAAATAAGATGGATTATTAAGTAGCAAATATAATGTTCCTCTCTCTCTCTCTCTCTTTCATCCACATAACGGAATATTCTGCAAGAAAATAATTCTAATTTGAAAGATCAATAAAAGAATCGTTATATTCAGTGAACAAGACTCCTACCTAAAAGTTATCTAAAGACACGCAAATGAAAGATTATTTTATCTTCATTTTAAAAAGATCGAATTCTAGATAGAAATCAAAGACACATTGATTAGACAAATATGTCTCGGTAACCAGCTTATGTCATGGTATGTGGATTTAAGAAAAAAATAGAGGACGGTATCTCTAACAAGCCTAAATATAAAAATTTTTGTACTTGGGCTTTTATTAGGACACAAGAGGGCCTCATGTGACAGTGTCACACATTTGATATGTATTTCTGGGTAGTGATGATCATTTGGTCTTCCACTTCTTGTTGCTCACTGCCTAAAATCTACGACCATGCACTTGTTCGAGAAGTTCAAGGCTTAAGGACAAGCAAAAAAGGATGATTCTTACTGACTTGTTCTTGCTTCTCAGGTCATTCTTCCATAGAGGATGCTCAAGATGAAACCAATGTTAAGTGCTAAAAGAAACTGGGTTTAACCTAATTATATTTCCGCCATGGTAGTGATGTTTTGCTTTCACGCCCCATATATAAGCTCTATAATGGCCAGTATGAAGAATTGATTTTCATTACTTTTGATGATCATGGTGTTTTACATTTCGTCACCAAAAAAAAAAAAAAATGGGTACCATTGGCAAACCCACTTTTTTAAGTGAAACCAAATAGTCAGCATGTTGGTCAAAAAAAAAAAAAAACCTACAGAAAATCTCAGCAAAAGCGGAGTTAGATTCAAGGAAAAGAATGGATTTTTCTCGTATCATCCAGTTCTCATTGATTTTATCAACGGGTCATTGATCTAATATTAGTCCTTATCTTGTATAAAAGTCTTGCCTTCTTAAAATCAACAGTTCAATTGGCGATTTTGTCATATAAGAAACCATCTTATTCAGCTGTCAATAGCACCGTGGATAACTTGTGGGATCAAATGGGCCAATGATATGACTACAGTACCTCGACTTGTGGGATCAAATGTGCCAGTCATTTTTAACATTTTTCAGTCATATCCATCCCCGAAGAGAAATTTAGCCACATAAATCATGTAGATAAATACTTCAAGCATGAGTGTATATAAGACTATCAATTTTTGATATGACACGTTAACACTATACGAATTAAACATAAAATTATTGAGTCTGACACGAAATTAAACGGGTTAATGTATTAAAACGAGTTAACATGCTTAAACTCGAAAAAAATTATGCCGGGTTCATATAAAAATTAGATCATTCCCAGTAAGAGTCATCTATATGAGTGTGAAAGGGTCGCTTCTGTGAGAATTTATAAAAGTTAAATTCTCTAAAGCACTCATGAAAACCAAGAGTTATTCATGGTCAAAATGAACACAATCACGAGAATCAATTGTGTTAAGAAATAGACTGTGTGAAGTCTATTCGTTCTGATTTATCAAACAACTGAATAGTTCAAGACATTACATTTACTATTTAGTCGGTAAGTTCGATGAGCTGTCACTAGGGAAGGTTCAAGGCCAAAAATTACCTATCTCGATGCACGATCTTTCCAAAGATATACTCTCTATAAAGTGTGTCAGCATTATCATTTGCATACTAACAACCAATTTTTCATTTATGTGGGGGATTGTTGGATCAAAACAGTTTCACATATCAGTTTTTTAAGTGTAAAAACTAAATTTTTGGTCGAATTTGATCCTAAATTAAACTGGGACCCGTTCGTTGTTTCGAGTAAATTTTTGTGAGTTCGTATTCTACTCTGTGAGAAAAATAATTTAGTATATTTACATGTTCAAATCGAGTAAAAAATGAATAAAAAAATAGGTTCCAAAGTGACCCTCTTGAAATGTGGAAATAAATGTTGTGTAATGTGGATTGAGATCAATCTCACATTGGTTGAGGAAGAAGTTCTACATGAGCATATATAGGCCAAATTTGCTCTATGGGATTACATGAGCATATAAATGTTATGAGCGGAGCGATCGTTTACATGCCTACGGTTCTACCACACACGCGCGCGCCACCCACCACGACACGACCCAACGAGGCTCGGGTGTGGGTGTATCTTTTTAGAAAAAATTTGTTTAATTAATTAGGCGTGAATTTCTTAATTCAAAATTTAATTTTCGGTATCCGTTGGATAGCACTGGTTCAAATTTTTTGCTTCACTCCAGTCCAAAATTTGAGTTGTGTCTGTTTATACAGAACAATTACACAACTGATGTTTTCTGGCTGCATGTGATTGTTGGGTTGCATCCATTCACATGGTGATTGTCCAGTTATCATTCTTTCTATAAATGACACAGTCACATAATCATTTTGAATCAAATAAATTTAATACATTCGTAGTCATTTAAGACAGTCTCATACATCATTAAGACAGTCTGTATTTGAAAAGTACACAACACAATTTTTCATTTAATGGACGGGTAGATTGGAATACTACTTCTACTCGTGTGAAGATCATTATATCCTGAGATGCAGACGTTTTATATTCCATAAGTACCGTGTGTGGAGGCGAAATCTTTCTTCAAGATATAGTGTCAAACACTAGCCTTTATCTACATAAAGTTCAATAACAGTTTTTGTTCTGCAACCGGGTTAGTATTTATATTGATTTGATAAATAGTTACATGTAACTGTTTCGTTAAGAATATAGTAACTGTTTCGTTTATTCTTCTGTAATTGTTTCAATTTTTTATATAAATGTTTTGCACTTGATTGTTATTGTTTTTTTATATATTACATATTTCAAATCAAAAATTTCAATAAATAATTTTACTATATTTAGAATACCTCAAACAACAATAATTATGCTAGAAATTAAACCACAATAGAGAATGTTTGTGCTAATATCTATACGCCACCTTTACATACATGCCTACATACATGTAAGTCCCAAAACTCGATTCAGTTAGCATGGTGGGGATTTGCTTTGAATTACATGAAACGTGGTGTTCCCCGTTATGATGAGGAATTCAGGCAACACCCAATTATTATTTTATCTAATTCTTCGGCTAGTGAATAACCCCACACCTATTAACTATTACACATCAAGCAAATTGTGCTAAAAAGCAAGTATACTATGCTATAGTATCTATATAATAAATACAACAGAAAAAATGACTTTTGAATTTTGCAATTGAGATTGTCTTAAATTTTATTTTATAGTTAATCCGAAATGTAATATTAATTCCCCAAATTTAATGAGAAAAATAGGCACTGTCAGGGTTTGTTTGGAGTGAATTTTTAAATATGCTTCTAGAATTTATGACTTCTCATAAACACTTTTAAAAAAAAATAGTATTTAGAACAATTTATTTTAATTACTTCAAAATAAGTCAAAAATAATTTTATTGCTTAAAAAAGTAATTAACTAACAATAAAAAAACAAAAAAAAACTTCTACTTCATTAAAATGACTTCTTTACAAAACACTTAATCACCAGCACCGTCGCTGACGCCACCCAACCACCACAATCGCCGCCGCCTTACCACCGTCGCCATCGCCCCACCACCACCATCGCCACTACTACCACCACAACTGCCAATTGTCACCTCTGCCGCAACCACCATCACCACCACCATCTTCGCCACCACCCACCCACCACCACCGTTGTCACCTACCACCAATTGTTACCACTGTTGTCACCTACCACCAATTGTTATCACTGTCGCCCACCCGCACCACCCACTGTCACCCACTATCACAACCCATTACCACTCGTCTTCACTCACTATCGTCGTCAACCACTATCACCCACCCTCACCACTTTTACAACCACCACCCATCATTGCCCGCCGCTGTCACCACCCACCCCTACCACACCTACCATCATTGTCGCCATTCGCTACCACCCGCAACAACCATTGCCCACACGCAACCATTGCCGCCCACCACCATTCACACTTACCATCACCATCTTCACCGCCCACCATAACAACCCATCACTGCCACCATAACCGTCATCCCCCCATCACCACTATTTGCAACCACCATTACCGTCGCCCACCACCACCACCACCACCATAACCTTCACTCATGACTGTCACTACCACCATCTTCACCCAAAATCCACCACTATCATCATCGTTGCCACCCACGACTACCACCACCATCACGATCATCGCCGACCACCACAACCATCACTGTCTCCCACCCCCACCATTTCTGCCCACCACCACTTCTACCCACCACCACTATTATCGCTCAGCCTCACCAGAACTGGTGTTTAAATTTTTTTCTCTCTCTTCTCCTCTGTGTTAGTGATTTAATTTCATGTATGACTACAAATATGTTTATGATTGACAATTTTTTTTTATTATTGTGTGCCTTCTAGCAAATGCAAGACAATAACTAGTAATCGTGTATTATGTTATACAACAAAAGCGATTAACTCTCTATTCGTATTGAGTTAGAATCAAATCGGTTATAGTACATCCAAATCCATGTCATGAAAATATAATGTAAGATTAAGACATTAGTTTAAATCATCAATCTATATTTGAATCATCGAATTTTGATTTGGATAAAAGTTTGATCAATGGAAAAAACATACTCAAAACATGAGCTGGGAAAAGATGACTTTCCGATCATCATGCAATATGATAGCTGCCCAAAGAGGGAAGGTTGAAAAAAAAAAAAAAAATCCAACAGAATCCGCTTGCGTAAGCCTACCGCCCGTTGACAATTGAGATAGTCCGAAAGCAAGAAGTGTTTTGCCGCCTTTGATTCTGATGTCTGTTCCATACAGATAGATTTCCTCCTCTTTTATGACATTTTGACTGCTATTAATCTTGTT